AACTTGGCGATTTAAAGAATGATAGTACATTTTTTCATGCAATCATATGAAAAGGCCACATGCTGTCAATCAAGTTCATTTTGTGAATAAACAGAATATTGAGAGATACCCTATTCGATATTGTAGCTTGCTTAAGAACCCACTCAATATAAATGTAACTGTTATTAGTTATATTTCGCCATGGGTGAAGATATAAAGAGATATCAGAGTAAAATACGCATTAATTAGGTAATTCGAAGCCGTTTTCTTCTCATTCCCTCTATTTTCGCCCTGGCAGGGATGATGGCATTTTCACATTCGCAGATTTTAGATTTCCATTCGTTTTTGCTTAGTTCAAGCAAACATCCCACAATGTAACCCGCTATTCTCTACAGATGCCTGACCTTTTCTTGATGAGGTGAATTCCAGATGTAGTCGTGCTAGTATACCATACCAACATGGGCTGACTTCACCTGCAAAGAGTGGCCTCTCAGACGCGGGTGCCTCAAAGAGGTTTTGTTTGGCCAGTTTCAGGTGAAGTGATTACTGATGTTGTCAGAAAAGGGTTAAATCACTCGCATTCTGTAGCGAAGCCAACTCGTCGTCTACTTCTTCCAAAACAGTAACAGTAGTATAGTAGTAGTAGTAGAAGTAAGTCCAGTTTCAATAAAACTCGTGGCCATAAGTGTTGAGCCCGTTTCTTGTTCGTGTTAAAGTGTTTGTAATGAAAATATTCAAAGGCTGATCCCACCAGACAACAATGGCAGAAAAATCTTGACCACCTGTAATTTGGCATTATTTTAATATGCTTGTCATTTCGTATGCAAGTGCACGATTCTCGTTGTACTGTAGCAGTTTGGACTGTTGACACAGTCAGTGAGACATCTTTCCTCGTCTCGGAGAAAAACGAGCTAAGCCTTTGTCTATCGTGTGATGGACATGAGCAGAGCTGGAACTTATTCTTCTAAAAATTTTAAGTTTGTAAACACTAAGTCGAGAATGCAGGAAAACTGATTTTCCAAGACTTCCTTGATAAATTCATGTTTTATTATTTTTTTCATCACGTTTTCAGAGGCGAGTTGAATGTATTCGTAAGTTTGTCTCACCGCAAGCTGTATGGAAATCGCCTTGGAGCTGTGATTGTAGATTTGTGCCAACATTTCATCCTAAATCATATCGTTCTGCTTTGAAGATGTCCATCACATGACGGACACAAGCTCAGCAACGATGCATCAGGATCGCAGGATGGTGTACCGATGAGCTATTCGCACAAATCTATAATCACAGCTCCAAGGAATTCATCCTACAGCTTCCGATATGTCCAACCTACAAAACCCTTCCACGGCGCCCCTTCAAACGAAATAAAAGGTATTCCAACACTTAGTCAGGAATACTATCCAGCTCTATCTTACCTCTTAATTATATTGATAAATGAAAAAACGAAAATGTATATGCATATATAAATATATAATTATTTGTCTAACTATCCTACATTTGCTCATGCTACTTTTACTTGAGTGTGTGCGTGTGTTTTAATGCCTATGTACAATGTCAGTCATACATTTGTGTGATTTAAAAGCCCAATGATGTCCATCATTTGAAGTAGCAAATGTCAGCCACATTTCACCCAAAACGAGGAAGGATGCCTCGTCGACTGCGTCAACATGAAGGTCGTATTAATGCCAAACAGCTGTAGAACTACGTGAATCGGCCGTTGTATTGCAGTGAGATCAACTAACGAATCGCTTCATATGAAATAAAACTTTCTCTCATAATGTTATCCTACGAGATTCATAGTATCTCAACTATTTTTCGTATATGCACAATAAAGCCAGTACATTTTTCTCACACGACGTAGATTAAGACTCATTTTAGTGGAAGCAATTGTCTCGTTTGGCATTGATTCCCACAGAACATAACTTCAGCGCTCCACTCCACTTTGTTTGTGCTGATGCCCAAACTCTCGAGGTAAAACTATGGTACCATATCTCCTGGGTAGCTTTATGTCTTCTGTCTGCTTATACATCTCCAGGCCTGTAGCAAGATGGAGATTTATAGAAATGGTCTTTTTTCCCCGTTTGCCCAGCAACCCAGCAGCCTGATGGGAGGAGGAGAGGCCTTTGAAGAGGTGGAAACGATCACTTTACAACCAATCGGCCGAGGCGTGCAAGACCTGAGCTCCCGAACGGGTTCGATGACAACTTTGGCCCAGGCCCCAGCTACTGCCACTTCACTAGTCGACGGTAAGTGAAATCCTGCATATTCCCGTCGTCTAACGAGCAGGTCAGGCGAGTGATTGTCGCGTCTGGACGCTTTAAATAGAGAGGAAAAATGCTAAAAATAATCTATTTTATCCAAGCCCAAACTTCAGT